TTTGACGCTTCAGCCATTTTTGACGCTTCAGCCATCTTTGACGCTTCAGCCATCTTTGACGCTTCAGCCATTTTTGACGCTTCAGCCATCTTTGACGCTTCAGCCTTCTCGCGTGATGATTTTGATATTTTCTGTGTCGAAGAAGCCATTCACGACGTCGATAATTCCAGTGGCGTCTAGCACGACCTAAAATCAAGTAGTCTTACTAAGTCGATTCCGTAGTAATAGAACAGCTCATAGATTTTTATGGACAGTTATTATCTATAACGAATTTTGTAGCTGTAAAATTCCAAATGTAAGTGTTTTTTGTCCTTTTCCAATTATTTACCAAGCCTGTAATTCAGTATCATCATTACTGCTAGTGGCCTTAATAAACAGTATTATTATTATTAACATGGACTTGCTATGTTGGGATTGGATGACATCAAATCTAACCGAAATTCACTGTGTCAGTGAACTTGTTTACTCAACTGAAGAAAAAAGAGAATTCTTCAAAACTTTGCCGTGAATTTTCCCCTGAACTGAAAATCACAACTTTCTTCCCGAAGTACTCAAAATACTGTCACTAAATTCATTTTCTTGTACTTGTGCTCAGGCAACCTAAGCTAATCAACTGACTAGCTGATTTAGCGATATTTATATAATTTATGTAAATATGAAATTTGCAAATGAAAGAAAGAAAGAAAGAAAAGAAAAAAGTATATAAAAAACAACAAGGCGTCTAGTTCAAAACCCAAATCATATCACGAGGTAAGACAATGTTTTACTCGAAATTCGCGAATTTTTTACTGAGCTAAGGTAAATAACACTCTGTTCGCAGTGTAACATTCCATCAGTCTTTGTGTACATTGTACAGATAATTGTAACCTCGCGAGATCACAAAGCTGACATGCACATGCAAGTTATACTGGACTCTCTTCCCTGTGAGTCCTGGAAGAGAAAGGCTGGACTATGACACAATCTTGACATTATAAAATGATGTTCGCTGTAGTTCCACTTTATGACGTCAAGAGTTTGTCAATAAGACATACAACGCAAAAACCGTGTATAATTTGTTACAATTTGGATATCTATAAACAACGTCAAACTGTTCCTTTGCTTCTGATTTTGCAAAATCACATCAACTACTACTTTATATATCATGAATGGAAAAAAAATATTTTTCAAGACGTCTTGAATCAGACCTCAGAAATTCAGGACAGGTAAAGACCTTATGCATCTGCCCTGTAAAGTATTTTGAAGCCACATTACCAGACATTGATTTTTAAAGTACAGGTATGAGTTCCAGTCCTTTTTAGCAATTCATCTTAAACAAACTGCAAACTGGCTTATTACTCCGATAACACATACTAGACAGGCATTTGCAATATTCTTTAAATCAAATGTTTTCACTCCCAAACAAATATGAATGGTAAAAGTTTCGAAACGGAGAAAACTGAAAATCGATTGATATCTTATAACTTAAACGTTTTCTCCGTTTACTCAAGAAAGAGTAAAGGCCTATTTATGTATCGAGATTCGGTAGCTCTATTAGGGTAACTGGTCTTACCGTTTTTAATGACAAATACTGAAGTGATTTTCCTGCTACCACGCATATCACGCAAATTACCACAGCCTCGCAATCGACGTCGGTATGCCAAATGTGCACGCGGTCCTGAGAAGCATTTTCCGCGGTCGCTCATACCAAACACCTTATATCCTCGTCTCCTGGCCAACTTAGCGCATCTTCTTACTGGATGTGGAACATGTCGGAAGTTCGCGAGTTTAGAGCCTGCGGGGTGACGTTTGTAACAACCAATAAAGCGGAAGTGCCACTTTCTTTTTGGTTTTCGCTTACGACCAAATATGAAGACATCATTTGCCCAGAATCCACCTTTCCAGTGTCGGCACTTATTGCTAGGTCCATATCGATTGTATGTTCTTTTGGCTGTACGACCAGAGAAACAGTGTCCACCATGCTGCAAAGCAAACACCTTGTAGCCTCTTCTCTTTGCTTTCCTAGCACAAATTTGAACTGCATGTCGAGATTTTGTGAAGTTACCGAGATAGTGTTTCAGTGCACGCTTATGTCTATCCTTGTAACACCCAGCAAAGTAGTATTGTAATGGTCTTACAGGAGGTCGACGTCCAATTTTGTACACATCATTTGCCCAGAATCCACCTTTCCAGTGTCGGCACTTTTTGCTGCGTCCATATCGATTGTATGTTCTTTCAGCTGTACGACCAGAGAAACAGTGTCCACCATGCTGCAAAGCAAACACCTTGTAGCCTCTTCGCTTTGCTTCTCTAGCACATTTTTGAATTGCATTTCTAGACTTTGTGAAGTTGCCGAGGTAGTGTCTCATCGCGCGCCTATGACGGTCCTTGAAACAACCCACATGGTAGTAGCGGAATGGTTTTGGGCGTGGTGGGGGTAGCGGCCGAATTCCTGACACGAAAATAAATACCCATATAAAATTACACTAACACATTTTATCAGTATGACAAAGTCATCATRGAAAAGGATTCCAGAAAATATAAAAATATTCTTTGTCCCTGTAAGATGGGCTAATGATTCGTTGTTGTCAAGTACAGTTTGACGGTAATAAGCTAACACAATAGACTTCTGAACCTTTTACGTCGCTACTTGATTTTCAATGCATTTTGGGATCAATTTCTAGGGAAAATAAAAGCTTCAGAGGTCTATTGTTTGGGTTAAAATGATCACTTAAGTACCTGAAGTTCCGCAGGCCTTTTTCTTGATAACTCTCACCACAGAATTCATAGACTTGAATCCTGCAGTAAAGACATCCCGAGAGCTGGAAGCGATCTGTCTAAGTTGGCGGATATTGTATTTACGTCCAATGCCCAAACACATTACACGAACACCAGAAGCACGAAGAGCATTTGCAGGGCCTACAACATTGTCTTGCGATTTACCGTCAGTCATCACAATGAGTGTATTCTTCCTGCCTTTAGTATTTTTAAACAGGAACCGTTTAGCAAACCGAAGAGCACGTCCTGTTCTAGTTCCACGTCTCGGATACGGAATGCGAGAAACAGCCTTTATGACGTCTTTGGATTTGTAGTATCTCCTGAAGCCAAATATCTTGTATGGTTTGCTAGAGAACAATACCACTCCAACCCTCGTATGACGACGACCAATAACAAATGATCTCACTAGATCTCGAACAAACGTAAGGCACCGTCGGAAGTTTCCACGTCCATAGTGTTCAATGCTTCCAGAACCATCGATCAAGATTCCAAGGTTTATTCGTTTGCGGCAAACTAGATCAAAAAATGACAATAGGTTAAATAAGTTATTTATGAAGTATAGTATATAGTACAGTTACAGTAATGATTAGAAAACAAATACACGACTTTCACAATGGCCGACACTAATTAGCATATTATTGTTAAATTCATAATGCTGACAAAAGAAAACACTCAGATGATAGATATCAAAGCTAAAGATAAGCTCTGAAAGTTTCAAAGAAAAATATTAAATCCTCTGGAWGTTATAAGGGTTGGAGGATGCACAAAAACACCAAAACGAGGCCACCAAGGGTTCAGTAAAGAATTTCATACAAATSCTTGTATTTTCATTCCTCCATAACTTCGTTAGCATTTAGTCTATATCTTCAAAATTTTGCACAATTACTTATTTCTGATAGTTCTTCATTATGACAGTGCTGAATGTTTCCTTAATATTGCCAATCATATTAAATCGATATTAGGCAATTGTGAAAGTGGTCTATGGCTAATAACAGTGATACCACCACTGAACCGGAAGTGATTTGACATGCTAAATACCTTTTCCTCCTGGACGAACTGGTATAACAGGTCCTGCAAACAACAAAGACACCATTGCAGTTATTCTAAAAGCACCGTTGGACAATTATATCCACATTTTAATAACAAATGACAAAATCAATTACAAGTAGGGTTCTAATAACAGCTATAACACAAGTCACCACTATATCACATGATTTAGAGTTGTCTTCTTTTATTAGGAAACCATGGAAGGGATATATTCAATGTTTTAACCTTTAAAAACAATTCAAATTACCTAGGCAAGCTTTCTCTTTTAAGGTTCTAACCATTGAGCCAAGGTTCTTGAAATGAGCAGTGAACACGAATCGCCGGTTGGATGCCATTTGGAAGAGTTGTTTTCGGTTATATCGTTTTCCTAGTCCAAGTGCCATTATTCGAATACCCATTCGTTTGAGCGTAGCGGAAGGCCTAGTTACACTATCATAAGAGCGACCATCCGTTAATACAATGAGAATGCGGTTCTTGCGGCTTGAACGGAACAAGTATCTTTTAGTATACCGCAAAGCAGCCCCAGTCTTTGTACCACCACGTGGGTATCTAGAAAACGAGACAAAATATTGAGAACAGATTAACTTTGCTACACTAACACTGTACAATCTCCCATCATTAAATTAGTTTTGCCTGCATTACTTCTCGATTCCCCTTCTTACCGGATTTTTCCTATTGCTCGTATCAAGCTGTGTTTGTTTCTGTGCCGGCCAAACCTGAATTTCGGTAAAGTACGGCTGTTATAAACAACCAATCCAACTCGCGTTTTATGAGGAGAAATAGCGAATGAGCTGATAAGATTCTGAAGGAATTTTTTGCATAGGGCAAAGTTCCGGGCTCCAACACTTCCTGATCCATCAAGCAATATACCAAGATCTAGTCTTTTATTACAAACTATGAACAATAGACAAGAACAAGTTAGTCTTAAAATCATCAAAAATACAAACACAACCAAAAAAAAAAAATAAATAAAACTGAGGGAATTCTGATAGCAAAGATAAGCAATGGGACAAGTAATTTGAACACGGGCTAAAAGACATATAATGAAACAAAGAAATGCAATGTTGGCTTTACCTGGTAGGGCAGGTCGTGGCCCAGGATGTGGTCGTATTATTGGTAGTATATCTTCTATAAAAACAAGGAATCATAKATAAAGTGTCATTTTTACATGCAAATACAATTATAGGTCTACTCACTTTTCATGAAGCATCTTTTAGCACGTGCTGCAATCTGTCGAGCTGTAAGAGCTTTGTTGTAAATTTGTATACACGAGATTCTTCCTTTGAAGTGGCGACTGTCGCCAATCTTAGAGCCAACACGTATAGGATAGTTAGTGGCCAATTTAAATCTTCCAATTCGCTTTCTTTGAACGACCCTGCCATTGACATAGAGTTTCGCTATTCCAGTGTTGTGATTATATGTTGTGCCCACAAACTGCCAACGATTTGGCCGGACACTGTTACTTGATAATGACTTTGTAGCTCCTCGTGTATGTCTCCTTGTGTAGTGTACGTACAATTGTTTGGGTCCAGTCATCCAAAAGTGAACTCCCCATAACTTGTTATGGTAGTTGACAATTGGTCCACTGCGTCCAGAATGGAATATTTGAGCCAAGATGGTGATGGATCGCTTGGTGTCTAGTTTTCGTCGATTTGGTAATTCAATAAAACTGTCTCGGGTTCCCAAAAATTGGAATGCTGTTCCTTTGTAACCGTCTGGACCAGGAGCAGGTATTACGCGTCCTAATCTTCCTTTCGGATTTTTACTAATACTGATATCACGTGCTTTAAGCAAGGCATTCAATGGATACAATCCAACGGCACGCAAGGATCCTATTAAGGCAATTGTATATAAGTACAATTATCATTAAACATTATAGATTAGTATCAGTTTAATTACAACATACCTGCTGGTCTAGGTGGAACTGGTTTATCTTCAAAAGCAAAAGTAAAGAAAATATCAGTAAATAACATACAAGATTGTATTTTCCTCAGCTATAAGTGTATACTGTATTTTATCGTAGCAACATCTCGTAGAACTATACAACGACTTTTTTTAGCAGCACTTCAACCCTTGTTCAGATTTGCAATTCTCTTTGAATAAAAACTATTGGGACTACTATGAAACCAAAGCAAAACAACTGAACATCATTCAAATTTACAAGAAGCAAGAAAAATCTGAAATACCTTTGCATACTCTCYTCTTGATCACTCTTACAAGTGAGTTCATATTTCGGAAAGAAGCAGTCATCACGTGGGCTTTATCAGTAGCGACTTGGATTAGTTGCTTCATGCTGTACTTGCGTCCTATACCCACAGCAAATATCTCAATACCCTTTCTACGAAGTTTTCTTGCAGGACCTCGAGGTTTGTCAGATGACATTCCGTCCGTCATGACAATGAGCACTTTTTTTCGATTACTTCGATTATACACATGTTTTCCCACATATCTCAGAGCACGGCCGAGTTTCGTGCCACCTCGTGGATATTTCGTACGGTCTATAGCTCTTAACACTTGTGCTTTAGTGCGGTAGCTTCCAAAACTGAATAGACCACGTGCTCTGGTTGAAAATATGGTGGCTGAAATACGGACATATCTTGGAGAGATATGGAAGGCTCGCACCATGCCCTTCACGAAGTTAAGACAACGTCTGAAGTTTCCTYTTCCGTAATACTCAATGCTGCCAGATCCATCGATCAAGAATGCTAAGTCAAGTTTAGCTCGGCATACTGCAACACATGACAAAGGATTAGGTTTGCATATTTGCACATAGGTTTGTAGTCAACGCACTTGTACTTGTACGCACTTGCCGCTTAATTTCACTTTTTCGGAGCTCCAAGTCTGGCATAGAGTATAATATTTGCCAATTTGTCTGGGATAGGGTAGTCTTTTTGTCTGGGATAGGCTAGTAGTTTTGTCTGTGATAGGGTAGTCTTTTTGTCTGGGATAGACTAGTAGTTTTGTCTGGGATAGGGTAGTAGTTTTGTCTGTGATAGGGTAGTCTTTTTGTCTGGGATAGGGTAGTCTTTTGGTCTGGGATAGGGTAGTAGTTTGTTCTGGGATAGAGTACTTTTTTGTCTAGGATAGGACATTATCTCATTGTCTGGGGTAGGGTGGAGTTTTGCCTGTGATCGTATCTGCCAGGCCACTCTTTCAGCGCTAAAATAATGTACCTTTGTGCTTTAGCACTGGAAAAAATCGCGCACTTTAAAGGTTGTAAATTTGATGTAAATATTATGTAAGTGTCCAAAATGATGTAAATTTGATGTAAATTTACNGTGATAGGCTAGTAGTTTTGTCTGTGATATGGTAGTAGTTTTGTCTGTGATAGGGTAGTCTTTTTGTCTGTGATAGGGTAGTCTTTTTGTCTGGGATAGGGTAGTAGTTTTGTCTGTGATAGGCTAGTAGTTTTGTCTGTGATATGGTAGTAGTTTTGTCTGTGATAGGGTAGTCTTTTTGTCTGTGATAGGGTAGTAGTTTTGTCTGTGATAGGGTAGTAGTTTTGTCTGGGATAGGGTAGTAGTTTTGTCTGGGATAGGCTAGTAGTTTTGTCTGGGATAGGGTAGTAGTTTTGTCTGGGATAGGGTAGTCTTTTTGTCTGTGATAGGGTAGTCTTTTTGTCTGGGATAGGGTAGTCTTTTTGTCTGGGATAGGGTAGTAGTTTTGTCTGGGATAGGGTAGTAGTTTTGTCTGTGATAGGGTAGTCTTTTTGTCTGGGATAGGGTAGTCTTTTGGTCTGGGATAGGGTAGTAGTTTGTTCTGGGATAGAGTACTTTTTTGTCTAGGATAGGACATTATCTCATTGTCTGGGGTAGGGTGGAGTTTTGCCTGTGATCGTATCTGCYAGGCCACTCTTTCAGCGCTAAAATAATGTACCTTTGTGCTTTAGCACTGGAAAAAATCGCGCACTTTAAAGGTTGTAAATTTGATGTAAATATTATGTAAGTGTCCAAAATGATGTAAATTTGATGTAAATTTGATGCTTAAATTTGATGTAAATTTACATCAAATTTACATCATTACGTAGGGTATGTAAAATCACAAAMATTGGTCTGGGATATAGGGTAAGGATCTTGAGGGTCGTGCCGCACACCCCCACCTAAGTTGAGGAGTCTTCTATTGACTGACTAATAGTAGATATCATTGAACCACAATTCATGAAAGCCAAAGGCAGTACACAAGAGACTTGACAACAGCACAATTTCATGTGAACGCAATCCTTATTTATTTGGAATGCTATGTGATCAAACGTTCCTTACTACATAAGGGTAATTCTTTTTATGCCCTTTCAATTTGATTTGCCATTAAAAGCCTACATTTAACACAAGTTTTAGCCCGTCCAACATCTTTCCCCTGCGTTTAACAAAGACCTATACCAAATCTTTATTTCGTTTCTCTTTAGAAGGGGGTTATTTTTTAACAAAGTCCTCCTTCCTCGTAGGTAGCTGACCCGTAGCTTTTAATAACGTTGTGTAGATTTCAAGTCTCTTGTGCATTACCTTTTGTTTTCATGAATTGTTCTGGTTAGTGACATCTACAATTAGTCAGTTAATAGAAACTAATAGTTACTACTTCTTTGAATATGTTTCACAGTACAAGTGCGTTGACTCTATAGTGTGCAATAAATTTAAAAATAAATGACATGTCATTAATGACAATCCTTAAGTATAAAGGTGTAACCGATTATTCCATTTCGATTATTTAGTTTCCAAAGTGACAACGCGTATCCGACAACTTTTGAAATAGTTATACATGTTTTTATTCACATGTTACATCAATGACACGTTTTAAAAGAGGAGATACGCAAAGAAGAAAACGTACCTTTACCACTCGGAGGAGGCGGTGGCGGTGGCAGAACTGAAATAAAGATAAATTCATTATAATGGTTGTACCTTTGAACCAGGAATGTTTTACCTACCCGGCGTTTAACATATACTACTTGCATGCATGGCTTAACGTAAAACACAAAAATCACGGGAAAAGCAATTGCACGACGACAACAATCCGTCTAGAATCAAAACTATAGGGCAATGTCCTCTATTATCAATCCAAAGATAAAATACCTTTTTAAGAACTACAATCAATCACAATTAGTATTTACAATGTTTCTCGGGAGATCTAAAGTATCACATTGGTAAAATATTGATCACAAGGGTATACAAAAACAAAAGCTAGCTTTGCCAATCAACTGATCAAATACCGCAACGTGTGGTGCGCAGTACATGAAGTCACGGCGCAACGTGTCTTAAACAAAATTAAGCTTTTGAAACAATTCAGTCCTTTGTCCACTCAAAAACAAGCAAAGAATTGACCATTGTCAAACATCCAATGCAAATTTCTTCCAAGAATAAGCAAATATCTTCAATGTATTTAATAATAGCATACCTCTTCTAAAGCAACGCCTCTTCTTGCTCAAGATAGCTCGACGAGTTAAAGCACGACCGTATACCTGCATACAAGAGATGCTTCCCTTGAAGTACCTTTTATCGCGTCTGTCGTTCTTGGCACCCATTCTCACAGGATAGTTGGTAGACAACGTGAACCTACCAATATATTTTCTCGCTACAAATCTATTGTTTACAAATAGCTTAGCTATTCCGGTTCTCTTGTTGTAGGTGGCACCAACAAACTGCCATCGACNTATTACAATTGAGGTGAGGTTAAGAGGGGGTAAAATAATTTTATGCTTGTATAACCAAGACGAAAGTTCACTGTAAAGATTACTTCATATTTAATTTATTCATATTTAATGTTTACGAGGGTTAATTGACCACTGGACGCGAAGGTCCCCTGATACCTTAATTTGGAAAAAAAAATTAAACATATTCACTTTCTGAACAGGATTGAAAAGAATAAAAGTCCTTATTTGATCAATTCCGATAACTAAGACAGCAGTTACCTGGTCCTGGAGACGGTCCTGGGGGCACGGGAACTGCAATTAAAGTTAAATCGGATAAGAACTTCAAGAACTATGAACGATTTAAAGTAGAAAACTATTATAAACTATAGACCTCGAGTTTTGAAAACATATAATTGTCGGGGCGAAAGGCGAACGGCGATTGCCGAAGTAAGATTGCATGGCCGAAAGGGACTATATGGTTATTTTGATAAACAAAATTTCACTTGTTGCTAAACGGAAACAATGTTTAATCAGTTGTTATTTCTCATCAATAAGCAATGGACATTCATCAATGTTTAATCAGTTGTTATTTCTCATCAATAAGCAATGGACATTCATCATTTATCCGGTAACCTTTTTTTGAAATGGGAATTTACACAAAGAAAAAATAAAATTGATTAAACGAGTCTATTGCTAAACTAGGATTCAGMTGCTTTATGTTTTTTTTTTGTCTTTTTAACTCGGAGATTGCGTTAGCAATCGAAGAGTTATTGTAGGTGAAAGATCTGTCACTCACTCAGTCACTCACTCACTTTCCTGTAAACTGCCCTTGTTTCTATAGTAGCTATGAAGTAATATTTATTTTTGTCATCATGGTCTTCCTATGCTTTTTTCTGTAACTATTTATAAAAATTAAATTCATATTCCTGCAGTCCCGCTGAATCGATTTCCCCATACATCGCCTTATATTCCAGCGCCTTAACCGATTATGCCACGGTGCCACTTTGGTGAAAATTGGCGTCTTTTAGGACTTTTATAGGGAGCACCGCTGTTCCATTCCAATTGGTGACAGAAGTTATGATATACCAATTCACTTGTTCTTTCAATACATGAAKGCATTAGYTACTCAAATTTTTCMCTAATAACTTATCTTGTTAGTTAATACTATTTTTTTAATCCAATTTAAATGTTAAATTGCATTTTCCCAATATTTGTTCTGATCTTAATTTTCTGATTTTTTTCTGATCATCTATTACATGTTTTTGTGAGTTATGTTGCCATTGGCAGCTTGATTTAATGCTCATGTGTTGAGCTTTTACTTTCTCTTTGTCTTTGCTTCGATTAGTAGAAGTAACACTTAATAAACAAATCGAAAAGAAATGATGGAAAAATGAAAAAATAAATCAGGTCATTGTCGACCAATGCTTCTTATACGAATGTCCATCGCGATTTTCCAGAAACTAGAAATTAAACCCAGAAAAGTATAAATGAATTGAAAACTGCACCAATTTCCTTGAGAAGTCAATAAAGAGAAAGAGAAGGAGTCCTGACTAATGTATATCTTTCACGCTTCATAATTATTTTCTATATTCATCTCCTGAGATTAACCAGTGTCTGGTGTGATTTCGACAAATTTTAAGTGATGTCATTGTGACTACTATGACTCTGAAACTAGCCAAGTGCCTCTGATAACGAAAGACTCTAGTTCACTTTTAATCCAATCTTAATTAATCATCATTCAATTGAATTCTAAAATGCTATCAAGCCTACTAGCGTTAGTATTTATAATCAAGCTATTAAGCTGAAATAAAAGTATATCAAAATATAACTCATACTGCAAAACAGACGCACCTTTTCTGAAACACAGTTTCCTCTTCCTCAAGATAGCTCGACGAGTTAAAGCACGACCGTATACCTGCATACAAGAGATGCTTCCCTTGAAGTACCTTCTATCGCGTCTGTCGTTCTTGGCACCCATTCTCACAGGATAGTTGGTAGACAACGTGAACCTACCAATATATCTTCTCGCTACAAATCTATTGTTTACAAATAGCTTAGCTATTCCGGTTCTCTTGTTGTA